TCAGTTCTTATTAAAGTTTGCATGTCACAGATCACACAGACACAAAAATCACAAAAAGGCAAACATAAAAAAACTAGACATAGGCATATGGTGAGTGTGACTGTTGATGCATGGGGTGCACGTGTGGGTCTGCCTGATGAGGAGTATACACCCTGGGAATAATAGTGGGCAGCAGATACTATATGTGTATGCATGAGCATCGAGTGGTTGCTATTGATCTCCTGTGGTCTGCCAGGAGGTTGTAAACACTGTCTTTCAACAGGAAGCTCCAGTCAATACAAGCAGCCATCAACAACTGCTACACGGAAAACACACTGCACAGACGCCCTCCCTGTTATCAAATCAGCACACACAGCTATATGGCTCAGTGTGTGTGTGTGTGCATGTGTGAGAGACAGAGAAAGAGAACGGGGGGAGAGAGAGAGGGGTCAATATACATGCACAAATAAGGGTTTGGAAATTACACACAAACATTTATTGCTGGTGGATGAAAACTGTGTAATTGCAACATTTTTGATGATTTAATGAGTGAATGACCACAAGCTCCTCTGTGGGTTAATTCTGCAATATTTGGCTTTATGAATATGCAATTAAAATCATTACTGCGGTCACACTGAAAAAGCTGATGTCCTTGATTCTTGATAACTTGACAGTTTGGAGATATGACAGCAGTAATGGTCACACCTGTCTATGGTCACACCTTAAAACACACATTTGTACAGATTTCTTTGTGAGTATACTCACTGACATTATACATTCACTTAGCTCCTTACAGCCTGTACTTAGACTAACCTTATCCAGCACAAGTAAATTCCTATAACCTTTACCCCAACACTAAGCTAAATGTAATTCTACCCTTAAACCTAAAACCAATTCCTGACACTCAAACATCCTTTTGTGGTAGTGTTAGAAAGTGAGGAGTAAAGTATCCTCACTTTCCCAAAATGTCCTCACTGTGGTATAAAACTCAAACTGGTTTTCACAGTGTATGCACGCATATATAAGTACACACACACATGCTGCGTGAAAACATGTAATCTGTGTGCGGAACAAGCTCAAGCTCTAGAGATAATCATGTGACAAAGCTAAGATGAATCTATGTAATATCGATTATGTTTGGATGCTGCACCAGTCTGCTAACAACCCGTGAATAACCGACCATGGACGACACTTAGACACTGAGAGCATCTGGCAGAGAATCCTCAGTGTGTGTTATGCTTAAATGTTTCCCCTCCGGTCACTTCCTGGTAGATTTCTTTTCACTCAGGTGGTAATTTGATGAGTCTCTCAGTGCCTTCTGATCCCCTGAAAGAGAACTCTTTAATAGTCCATGCCTATTTGGAAGGCATGCTTTACTCACGTTATCTTTAGTTAAAAGTCACAGATATCAAAAATAGAAAGAGGGTCTGACTCAATAAGTTTGCAACATGAGATCATTTCCTTTCCACTTAATTTTGACATGTTTTGGTGCTCAAAACAAATGCCATACTTGTGGTGGCCCATGCAAGAGCATGCACGAGACATCTACCGTATTTTCCGCACTATAAGGCGCACCTAAGAGCCTTAAATTTTCTCAAAAATCGGCCGTGCACCTAATAATCCGGTGCGCCTTATGTGTGCACTGAGTTCCAAAATCTGTAAAAAAAATGTTGTGCGACTTTGGTAAGCGCTCCGCTTGATTGACTGTCGGACCATTTCCCGCTGACACAGGGACGTAATACGTACACTACGCACGCTGGCAGCGATAAACCAGTCTAAACCGGTCTAAGGACCCCTGAAAATGGCACCAGTGAAGAGACATGCTTACGAGGCACAATTCAAACTACAGGCTATCAGTTACGCGGTTGTAAATGGGAATAGAGCAGCTGCGAAAGAATTCAAAATCAATGAATCTATGGTTCGGAAGTGGATTTGTGGGAAAAGATTGATTAAAAAATAATGTGAGTGTATTGTTAAATAGTAGAATAAAGTTCAACTAAACTCACTGTTTTGCTTCCCTTACGTTTTAGCATGCGCCTTATAATACGGTGCGCCTTATGGTGCAGAAAATACGGTAAGTTTAAAGTGAGTTTATAGTGAATTTATATCTTTCATCAAACAGGTTCAAGATCAGTCCAGTCTTTTGGTTGGACGAAAAAGAAAAGAAAAGAAGGAGGTGAAAGGAGACAAGCTGTTTGCTTTTGTTTGTTGGCCTTCGTGGGTCTCTTTGCCTACTGTGCACATGACGGTTTTCCGTCTTCTGTCCAGGAGCTCAACGTGTTACAAGAATCACAACGCACTGGGCTCTCGAACATCTGGTTTCAGTTATCACAGCTCTCCCTGAGCTTTGCCACCACAGTAAGATACAGACACACACATACACACACACTATCAGTGTCTGGACACGGGGTGTTTTGCCACTCTGCTGCTCCGGTTTCCCAGCTTGGTGTTTCTGGTAAAGGGCCATTGTAGTTCCAGCTCAGGCCTGTGGCGGAAAGCATCTCCCTGAGGAAAATAAGCACGACTCGCTCCAGTGAAGACATCTGCCCTTTGAAAACGAGCATGGCTGTTTGAACAGCTGTCAGTGCACAACGTGCATCTCAGACCTTCCCTGATAAAACACAAGCAAGAACGGGAGGGAAAACTGACAGAAGAAAGACACTGGATGGATAGAAGGAGACGTCCACTGGCAACGATGCACAAGGCAGAAGTGACGAAGTGCCTTACCTGCTTGTTATGTAGACTGACAAGAAGCTATGAGAGGAACTACCGCACTTGGTCACCTGTACTTGAAATTGGAGACTATGCCAAAAATGTGCATTTACTGTTCATGCTAGCATTGGCCACAGTATCTCAACTCTCCTCATCGCATGTGTTAGACTAGGTGAAGTTCCTACAGATCCTTCTGAAGGTGGCAACACTAGAAAAGAGTGCTACCTCCTATACGGAAAAGTCATTCGTTACAAAAGTGTCATGTCCTAAAAATCACATTTTGATGTATTACAAGGAAAACCTCCCCAAGTATCATCACTTCAGTTTTCAGAATTACTTAAAAAATGTGTCAGTGTATATTCGGAGCACTGGACAGCTACAGTGCAGTGCCCAGGAACTGACACAAGTTCTGAGGTCAATGTCTTGCTAAAGGGCAGCGTCAAGAAATATAGGTGTCTTGGGGGTAGAGCATAACACTCGCAGAAAATCCAGGCACGCACAGCAGGAAAATGTGAACTCCACATGGACGATCATTTCCCTAATGAAGAAAACTTAAAAACTATAAATGTAAGAGTTGATGGTCTAGTTCATCGTCTAGTGAGAATTTGCACTGCCATCGCTGCTGCAGTATGCGAGCAGTAGACACTCTCATACTACAAGAAGATTTCAAGCTTAACACTTAAGAAGTGACTGTCTGTTACCCAGTCAAGAGGAACAAGTGTATGTCAGACTTAGAAATGTGCTGGGAGCTCAATTGCATTAAAGCCCTTAGTTTGCCTGAGCTCCAATCTAATTGGATAAAGCTAGAAAAGCAGCTTCCAATGTGCATGAATTCTTTTTTTTCCACTTTTTTTTTTTTTTTGGAGGAGCGTTGCATCCCATGTTCTGTTCCACCCCATCTTTTGTCCTTGTCAACATTCTCCAAATGAGATTCCCAAAATCAGGAGGTGAGGGGAGCACGCATGCACGAGTGCACAGTGCAAATATTGTCAGACAGACACACCTCTCACACCAGCATGCTGGCTGGCATCGCTTCCTTTCCCGTCCTTATTAAAATTCCATATTGAGATTCCTTCCTGTCACTCCGCCTCCCTGGCCCTGTCACTCAGCCAACAACCGGCGACAAAATCAGCAAGTTTCAACAAAGACACACACATATGCATAGAGACACACACGGCACACAATCCAAACTTTTCTTAAGACAACTCATCCCTGCTCCCGCCCTTTATGTGTGGGATGAAAGTTTCCTTTAGGTGATATGTGTGAGAGCGTGTATCAGCATCTCTCCCTCCTGCCTTCCCCCCTCTCCATCTCTGCTCCCCCTCTCATTGTCATTATTTTCGATGGTGTCCCCCTCTGATCTGTCGAGCCTTTGGGTGCTCTCTCTCCTCTGTCTCTATCTTTCTGTGGTCCCTTTCATCTGTCAGGCGCTCCCCTTGGCGACCGCCACTGAGGGGGTTTGATTTCCCATCATGCCTAGCATTGCCTCCCTGACTCTGGCTCCCTGCCTCCCTCCCCTCTCCCTCTAAGGCGAGTGTTGTGCCCCCGCGTCGTTGGGCAATTATCCCCGGGAGTAATGAGGAGCGTCTCTCCCTCTGCGGTGCGTTGACTGACACCTCTCCCACTCATTTGTCAACAAATCAGACGGCTGGTGTGGGCGGCCATATTGAGCTGAGGGTTGTCGTCGGAAAGCTCAGGCTGAGGCGTATCACCACGTCTTTCTCTCCCTCTCTTTTTTTCTCATCCTCCTCCATCCCTTCCTCTCTATCTCTGCCACCTCGTTATCTCTGACAGGGTGTCATTCGTTCCAACTCTCACTCCTCCTATGTCAACCCTCTATACGCACCAATGTATTTGTGTTCCTCAGCCGCCAAGAAATGTCTGACTTCCAATAGTCCTAATGGTCATATGTGGCTAATGATCACTAAGCTGAATAAGTGACACTAGTCAATTTATTTGTGTCAAAGTCAGTCAGCCAGTTGCTGTAAACACTTTGCCCAACTAGAGGATAAAGACTGCAAAAGGGAAAACATTTTCAGATATGTCTTTACTCACAAAACCTCCTTTCAATTTGTCACCTCTAGTCGAAGCAGCTGTGGAGGATATACAGTATGTAAAGCTCATCTGCTGTGTCACGTCAGGATGAGTAAGGTCTTTGATATACCACTTAAAGGCTGTATATTTGACTGCAAACTTTAAAGAGATGAATGACTGGGTGTGAGTTTTGCATGTGAGCAGGGAGAGATGTCCATCATTACGTACCAAAACCTATGTCAGATGTGTTTTCTGTGAGTTGAGTGAGTACTCACTGTGCTCTTTACGTTCCTCCGGGCTCAGTGAAGCCTCTCCATCAGACAGCAGGCCGGACATGGAGAATAGCTTCCTCCCTGAGTCCTCCCCAACTTTGAGGGAGCCTCCCAGGGAGCTGAAGTCAAACTCCTTCCCCTCCACCTCTGGAAAGCAACTTTTCAGCCTTTTGGCAGGGGTGAAAGCCGACTGGTAACTCCCCGGCTCCCTCTCCTCTTGTGGGGAGGAGAAAGGTCGGAAGGCTCCCACCCCGCTGTGGTTGAGCATGCCCAGGGTGGAGCAGTCCAGATTTGGTGGGGTGAACTGAGGGTGCAGGTGGAGCAGGGAGGCTGGGAAATCACGGGAAGGAAAAGTGCCTGACATTGGGCCCTGGCGCTGATACATAGAGGTGAAGGTGTAGGAGGCCGAAGGGAAGGGGAGGTGGAGGTCCTTCTCCACTGAAGCAGGGACACCGAAGGGCCTGGGCGCTTGGCAGGGGACAGAGGCATCTCGGCCGGCCTCAGCAGTAGAGGCAAGGACCATCAGGGCAGGGGAGGCCAGTGGAGCGGGCAGGTAGGAGGGGCTGTCCATCTTGAAAGGGCGGTGGAGGTCCATTCACCTCCCTATTTGTAAATGTGAGGAGAAGGAGAGGACACACAGGGTGAGAGGAGACTGGAGGCATGAAAAGAAAATATTGTTTCAAAACGTGCACTATTTTAGGTGACAAAGAGTAACCGTTTTCCTTTCACCATTACTGGATAATTAAGTGAGCTGTCTTATGAAGAATAAGGTTTAATTAGTCTAAAAAAGAATAAAATTTAATTTTGTTAGGTTTTATGATCTCACATTGAAAACCTTTCTTCATTTTGTAAAACGCACCCAGTTGCAACCCTAGAGGCATTTTTACGATTACAGTTTTGAATTAATTTCGGTAGAAAAGGGCAGGAGATGGCCCACTGTGCCTGTAAATATTTATGCCAATAAAACACACATGTAGTCAAAGCCTGCAAAAAAATAGATTTAATAGCGAGCTAAGGGTTTAGATTTAGGAAAAGCCTCCAAACACATTCGGAAAAAAGACCAGTTCTTTTTTATTTGTAAAAAAAAAAAAATGTTTAGGTAAATCAGAAAACGTGCAGTTTGTGGGAACATTTCTTTTCCAAAATGTGAAACAACACTCTAAACAAAAACACCATAAAATGATTAACTTCATTTAACTAATCGCGGTTTCTTTACAATAATAATTTAAAGGATGAGCAATAATATATTCCAGCAAAAAAAGCTTCCTCTAATTCGTGATTTCACCTTTTCTAAACTAAAATTAAATGAATAGCACAAGATTGGCATTAACGGCCTAAATATAAAAGGAGCCTAATGTTTCGCCTTTTTGAATTCACAAAAGTGTTTCCACAGTTTATGAACCGAAACATCTGTTCTTAAAACTAAACAGGATGAGAAGAAACATATTTAACTGACTTCAAAAAAACTTCAAATTGAGAAAAATGAACAAATAGCTCATATTTTGCAATTAAATGACGCGATGCCATAACTTTTCACACACACCTAAAAGCGCACAGGGGATCAATATGATCGTTTCAGATTTTTTTGACGTGTTTCCAAACTGTTTTGCAGACAGGGCACAAGTTCCCTCACTTCCGAAAAAAAACGACCACAAAGCCTCACACGGGACAGAGCATATGGCAATCAAATAACCAATTAAACCAATTAAAACAAATGAAGCTGTAATCACTTGTGTTATTACGCAGCATCAGCAGCACTTACCGTGATGAAGTACTCAAAGCGAGATTTATTTGGCCGTCAAGTGGAACTCTCTCACTCTCCTTCTCTTTCAACTTAGAATTTCAAGGACGCGGCACTTTTCTCCTGGTCGCACAGAAAAGAGAGAAAGATTAAAAAAAAAAAACCCGTGCAGCTGCGGCCAGCGTCGGCTCTTCAGTCCTGCTCCAGATGTTCCTGGTGTCTAAGAGTTGAGTTAACGCTGAGATGTGTGGAGTTCAGAGCTGTAGTCGCTGTGTTTCTGGGCAGGTCCAGGGCATCAGCGAGTGGACTGGTCTGTCTCTGTTGGGCTTTCCTTCATGCGCTCCGAATGACAATCCCCCTCTCTTTCC